ACAAGCAGTCTAGCTTACAGTTTATTCATATTTATTGTTTGCTTGCTACTATATAAAAAATAATGAAGGTACAGAAAAAGAATAAAATAATAAAGACACAGAGAAAAAATAAAGATACACTATATATGGTAATGAGCAAAGTAAATTTGTAAAATGAAGATTAATACAGAAATAAACAGAAATATCTGAAATTAAATATTCTAAATAATAATAATAAAAAAAAATCAATTGATTGTGTTTTTAGAGAAATAGACTTATAACAGATGTTGCAGAGATGTTGGATGATTCCACAGAAAGTGTAGAAAGCAAAAATTTTGATTTAATCAATTCCAAGCCATTTATAAGTACAGAAATATATATACAATACAATGTATTTTATTTCTAGTATAGCATAAGTGTTTGAACCAATATGAAAAACAGATATGTCCAAGTTATTTATTATACTTTTGAAGTGATTAATTATCATAACGAATAAAAGAAAGTATAAAATTTAGTAATTTTTGTATTAGACATTTTTTCAACATTATATCTATCTATCTTATATCTTCATTGCTCCTATTAAATGTAATTCAATTTTATAAAATTGTTGTGTCATTTGATTTTTAAATTTTCTTTTGTCTGTATGTATTCTACAAGACAACAGAGATCTTGATCGATGATGAACGAGTGGCAACCAAGAGAAAAGGTTACTCTTCACTGTTGGAATAATAAACAAACCCTTTTTGTTCATTTCAGGTCGATATTCACAGTAGCTCGTTGTCAAGGGGATGCGGTCCCTGATCTGGGTTAATAAAAATTCGAACGGTGTCGCATTTCAAGAAACACCGAAAGGGAAGATTCTCCTTTTGACCTGGGAGCAAAGGGTAGCCGAAAAAGACTTCGTTCTTGGAAAATTGCCCTTAAATCATCTTTATCGCAGTAAACTTGACTTTGAACTGGTCATCCGTCAGACGTGTGAAATCTATCGCCAGACTATACATATAATATGGCTGTTACTAGAAGCTGATGAGAAAATAAAAAAAAAATAATGATGCAAGAATGTAAAAGAACAATTCATTAAATTTAATATTAAAAAAAATTCTCTTTAATTTTCATGTGAATGTTGTTCAACTTGAGTATGAAAAAGTTTATATATCATATCTAGTATTTATAACTAGATGTAGATGTTTATGCATTTTCAGGAAACTATAAAAATATAAAATATCCAAAGTGTATTATCTATTATATCAGTCGAGCACTCACTATAATATATTATTATAATTAATATTAAATATAATATAATATAATATAATATAATATAATATAATATAATTATAATAAATATAATTATGATTAAATTAATTAAATCTAATATAATATAATATTAAATATTATATTATTATGATATATTAAAACAAATGTCTATTTAGAATTAATTTCTTTTGTTACGTTCATAAAAATATAAAATTATAACATCCGCAGTTATAATTAAACATTCGACTGGAAAATTTATTGAGTTACTTTATATAAAAGTTGACAGCGAAAATTTGATAGAATATTTAATACTTAATAATAGAGAACAATAAACATACGCGCAAGATCAATTCTAATATCGTTTATTTTCCAGTTAAAATGCAGCACTAATTGTAAGAAGATTATAGACATGCATGTATCACCTTCTTACGTGTAACGCTATTTATACTCGATGATCTGGATATTCGAGTTATCTTGCTTCCATTTCTCGATTTATTCTGCATAGCGAAGAGCTCCGAATCTGAATTAGAGAATTTTTCCTTATATGTTGAAGAGCTCACTGTACAAAAAGTAAGTATCAAAGGTGATATTGCAAATGAAATTACAAACGCAAATAAGACAAGAAATTTAAACTCAACGAAGATTCCCTTTCTGAGGCTAAATCCACTTTTAATCCCGCAGATAACATTAGGCGCAGCTTCAAACTGCAGATAAGAATGTTAATTTATTCGACATTGAGTCGCGCGAACAAGAATTGATAAAAAAGTGGAGCGACGATGCGTTGACGGTAATGCACGCTGACAGAGAGGGCTTTTTGCCATCCGGGAGAAGCATCGGCCCTGGGAAAAAGACAGCTAAAGCCACTTAAAGTAGCTCCAAGGCACATAGGAGGATCGTATGCTGACCGCTAACTATTTTCAGCCGTTTTTGCCGTTAATTACAGTGACCTTTATCGAAAGCCACTCAAGCGTCTTTCACTTACAGGTTTTACTTCGACATTGCGGATTAAAAGTGCACCGCCGAATTTTAAAATAGGACGCTCTTCAATGTATGATTCGTGGAATTGTATACGTTGAAGACGGATGCATCCAATTTTCTTTGACATTTAATTATAGATGTAAGCCATGTTCACGAACAGACTCATCGTTCCCCCTTTACTTCGAGTAACACAGGAGCAGTCAGTAGTTTTGCTTACAATTGCAATCATATAATGAAAGTTAAGTTATTACTAAACATTTTTATGCAGATCTATATTTTGAGAACGTAATTAAAAATGAATAGAAAATCATTTATGTATTAATTTATGTATTAAATGTTATTATTTTAATATATTACTTCAATGTTTTATATATTAAATGTTATTAATATACTAATATATTAAGTTGGATATTGTATACATTCGTGTTGTTTCATATTATTGTATATATTGTATGTATTCGAATTATTTCATATTATGTACATTCTGTTGTTTTGCAAAATTTCAAAATTTCCTGTAAATACATAGAAATCCGCGATTCAATTATCACGTAGATAATACACTTAAATAAATCACAATATCTATATGATACTTGTAATATATAAATATTATAACAATATTATTATAATTATTACAGATACAATGCATATGCAATGCTTTGTGAATAATGAGATTATTGGATGGAAAAAAGTGAATGAAATAACATTGAAAATAACTAAAGGAGGCCCAAAAAAGTGAGGCTAAGTGAAAAGAATGAAATATGAAAATAAATAATGAGAGGATAAAAAATATGAGAATAAATAATGAAAGGATAAAAAAAAACAAAGAAGAGTAAACAGAAAATAAAAAGGATGTACATAACATAAGGGAAGGAACTTTGGAATTACAGAATAAAATTAACACTCCCAAAAAGGATAAGTTTTAATTAATTAATTAATTAATTAAATAAATAAATAATTAATTCGTCATTGAAAAAATTGGGAAATTTCTGAAGTTTTATGACAAGTTAATTCATTTTATATGCAGTGAAAAAACATTTCCCAGTAACTTAATTGGAATCATCCTCAATTAGGATTAAACAGAAAAACAACTATTATACATAGTATATTATATACGCTCCGGTGTTAATCATTCGTTCGGTGAACCATAAAGTAAGAGATAACAATTTAATAGATATTAATTTAATATAATCATTATATAAATTATTTATAATTTAATTATAATATATATGAAACACAATATCTATATAGATATATTATAAAAAAAACTTCATTAAAGAAAAGTGTAAAATAAGCATTTTCTAATATTTTATACATCTTTATTATTCCAGAATAATATTCCTCGCCAAGTGAAAATTCTTTCCCGCCTTGAAGGATTGACTTCAATAATCTTAGACGAATAGAATTGTACTATTCATCAGATTTATTTGAGAAAACATCTCCTAATAAGTTCAAACAAAAGCAATATTCCTATCGTCGTTATCATCTATTAAGAAAACAAGGAAAACACTAAGAAGAGAAAATTATCATAATGTAATCAGTCTACAGTCCGTCTACGCCGTCGGTCCATGCTATACATTATAAATATCCTCTAATAAATTCAAACAAATTCCATCACTGTCTCAAGAACAACGTTTCCACCAACATCATCATCCACTGAAGGAAAATGAAGAAAATTACCATAGCATGACCAATATATCTCCGATTTATGATATACGTCGCATCCTCTCATATTCTTCCCTTTATTTATATAAATCATGCACTACAGCGTTGGCTGATCCCCCGTTCAATTTCCTAATTGAATCGAACGATATGCGTCGCATGGGCGTACACCAGCTTGAGCTCCGCCCTTGGGTTCCTCTCCACCAGCTTCGAGCTCTCTTCCTCTGGAGTCTGCGTGTTACACCCACCAACGGCGTGTTCAAGTACCAAACAGAATAACCCAGTCGCTCGGAGCGACCTTCGAAATTGGTGTTCTTTTCTCAGTGGCACTTGGACCGCATCCGGAAACGTATTGACCCCGAGAGTAGTGAGATGCTGCATCACGCGTTGTAACCCTCGAGTCCTTCCTCCGATAACAAATACTCCAACCAAAATATTTCGTCGTTTTGTCGTTCTCGGATTGCTTAAAAAGGAAAAATTGTCGAAGATAATCTCTCTCGATTTTTTGGACATTTCATATATAATTGGGATTGAAAGTTTTGTGTAATTCAGATTCTTCTTCGTGAACGGATATCTCGAGGGTTTCGAGAAGTTTCGAGAAACCGATTTCGAAAACAAAAGAACGATCTGCGAAAGAATTACGATTGACGGAAGATTTTTTTTGAAGAATTTGTGACCTAAAAAGAAGAATTTTTAATACGATAAAGGATCAGTGAGAGATTTACGTCGTGATCATTCATTATCGTTCGATCGCAAATAACTCATATTATAATTTTGAAGAATAGTTCAAGTATACGCCTAGCAGTTATCTTCGATTGCAATTAACCACGGATTTTTTTCGTTTCGCGATTTGCAAAAAGATCATCGTTATACATAGCTACAAAATCACCGAAAATCGCAACTTTATGAAACTCCAATGCCAAAATTGCAATTTCTGCAATTTACACGAATTCTCGAATCGAAAATCACTTTCATTACAATTTGAAGTGAGAATTAATTGACAATTTCCAATTCCGCAAGAAGTGTTGAATCAAAATTTAAGAAGA